ATATTAAATGTTTTTCAAAAGTTTAGGGGATGCTCCCCTCATCCTTCATTGGCTCCGTCTCTATGATTCTTTTGATGATGATGGCAACCAATATTTGGAGGATATGGCTACCGAAAATGTCTAAATATCTTATTGTCAAAAATAGGCATTATTTGAATCAAATCTTTGAATCTAATAATTTATTCTTAAATTTTAATATTTTGATTTAATTAATTAAAATTTTGATTTTCATCGATGACTTAAAAAATTTTTTCACTCCCAATTATTTCTCTACATTCCAAAAAAAAAGCATTGCTTAATTGCCCCTGATAGTTGAAAGTCGTGTAATTAAAACTTCACGATATTCCTCTACACCAACTATGATTTCATCCCTCTACGTGCCTACAATATTTTATTATAATATATACATTTATTTCTAATTTTTATTAAGAATATTTCAATAAAAAAAATCACAAGTGAACTTTTTTATAGGAAAAAGAAGATTTAAAAAAAAAAAAATTAGTATCATAGAAGATACTTATGAAAACTCAAATCTTTAATACTAATTTTTGTCCATTTATTGAATTTTTTGACTTCGTCCCTAGTCTCAACAATAGAAATTAAATTAAGTTCCAACTTATCTTCATTAGGATTGGATAATAATTGATTATGTGAGTCATCTATTTTTAATTTCAATTTTATAACTGACTATGTAATGCATGCGTATATATAAAAAAAGATGTCTACAGAGATTATTCGCTATTGCGATTATTATATAATATATAATGATGTTGACAAATATTGTCTTCATTAATTGTCGCATATATAGTTAGTCAAGGATTATATGTAATGGCCGGCCAGATTCAAAAAAAAAAAAAAATTGCTCTATCTTTACTTCATTGATCAATTATACTTTATGGTGAAGTCATAATGTAATTTTCATATAAATCCCCTTAATCTTGACACATAAAATAAATAGACTTTATCTTATGATTGATGTAATTAAACTAATAGTCCTACATGATATAAAATCACTTGATAGTGTGCTGGACAAATTAGGAGAAAAGCATTATATAAAATTAATAAATCATTGCATATTAATTTGCATGTACTTAAGGAACAAACACACACACGTGCACTCATTTGGAAAATGGAAAGCTATTTGATTTAGTTCAAGCTCGTTCCTATCCTAGGTTGCGGGCAACCAGATAGTCTGAAGGCATTTCTTTCATTGACTAGATGCAAGAGTTGGCATTATACATGAGGTTTGGGTTGATTAAGAAGGATTCTAGAGGACACAAATGACAATTTTATGTTATGAGCCTCTTTTCATATGTTTTTGATGTAAATGGATTGAAATACTTATTATACTCCTTAACAAAATTATTTATTGCCGTTAAAAACGAAAAAAACAAGTACCACACTTTTTCCCTTTTTCACCCCCTAAAGTTTAAAGTCAAACAGTACACACTGGAACCTGAATTATACAAAGCTATGTAAGGTTAGCTAGGGCATGTACGATGACAAAATTCACATCTACAAAATGCTTGTTATCCCTTCCGGCCCCTTGAGAAACCACAACGTCATTGCTGAAGATATATGTTTCATTTGATAATGGCAACCAACAGTTGGAGTGTATGATTACCGACAAGGTCTCAGTATCCTATTGTCAAAAATAGGAGCTGCTTAATTGCCCCTTCGATCAGTTGAAGGTCGTAGAATCAAAATTTCATGATATTCCTCCACACCATATATGGTTTCAACTCTATATGATTACCGACAAGGTCTAAGTATCCTATTGTCAAAAATAGGAGCTGCTTAATTGCCCCTTCGATCAGTTGAAGGTTGTAGAATCAAAATTTCACGATATTCCTCCACACCATATATGGTTTCAACTCTCCACGTGACCACAAATGTAGTTTTCTCATTAACAAAAAAATCTTATGAGTTTTGTTTATCAAAAAAACAAGAGTCTTGTGGGTCTTTAACCTTCCTACGTTTATTGCGTGCCTTCAGACAAGTGGATGGATTTGATATATATTTATATTTATATCAAAACTAAAACGGAAATTGGTAATGATGGGGTAGCCTTATTTATTAATAGTGGAACCACATAATGCCATGGTTGGGTGCAGAGGCCCTACCATGGCTCTTAAAAAATTTTAAAAATAAATAGATCCATACTAGGATCTTAAGGGGAAAAAAAAGTATAAAGGCCATCTTAAATCTCTTTATAAGAAAATTAATGACTAAACCTCTACTCATAATATATTTCTGATTCAACCACTACTAGTTATATTTAACTTATATGAGTGTCCTTTTTATTTTTTGATATGGTATCTAGTAGAGTGTAGTTAAGTTATAGTTGCGGTAGGGTAGGGTAGTAGCAGGGACAGAACCAGAAAATTAAGTTAGGGGGTTGAAATTTAGTGTTAAAGATTTTAGTATTTAAGAGTATTTTTTATGACACTAAATTATTTTCTTTAAATCTTCTCCCTTATAAAAGGATTTACTTGTAGTCTTTTTCATTGATATATTCTTAGCAAAAATTAAAAATAAATGTATTTTTTCAATTATAATAAAAACCAAAATATCATAGTAA